GTTAACTTGTGTCTCATCTTGATGTAAAATAAAATGTAACTAAAAATTCATTATTTTTATTTAAAATCTGAATGCTTAAATCTTACATTTTATTTACCATTTCTTGAATTGGGCTATTTGTGGTAAATTCAGGATTTATCCAAAGTAAGAGTCTTCTGAATGTATCTCTTTCCAAAGAGGTTTGAATGATTTGGGGGCCAGAAAGGAATGGGCTTTGAATATGCAAGAAATGTATACCTTTATCTCCTTTCCTGAACAATCGATGTATGAAAAGTTTTTAGCAGCAGTAGAGTGTAATTGTGATTATTTCTAGCCAAGGAATAACTTCTAATCACAGTGCCTTGGGATAGGATTTGAAAGGAACTTTCCAAAAGCTGTGTTTTGTGGCACCGTGTCTTACAGCAATGCTTGGGGCTTCCAAGAGAGCCAGCATTAGTTGGAAGATATCTGTATGGATTGCTGCCCTATCAGTAGATGCTGCTCTCATCAATTTCCCAGCCAAGATAGGGAGTTCCATTGAATTCTCACAATCTGAGTATAACTAGCTCAGCAATTTCAAGGCTACTTGAACAAATCCTATTCACTGTATCCTGAAACCTATTGTCATATGGTTATAGTTGTTAATGGCTTTTCTCACTGTAGATCAAGGGGGGTTATATGAAATTTAGAATTTCCAAAGGAAGGTTTGGTTTTGTACTCAATCGAAGTTGGGAGCCTCTGAAGTTGCTGGAACTGAATGGGGGTAGGGGGTCAGGCTCTGGGTTGAATTTTGCTTTCTGGGCCACAGTTTCCTGTGTTTTGTTGTCTAGCTGCAATGGAGGCATGGTGCCACAGAGCTCTTTGAAAATGTGCACAATATCTTCAACCTTAAAGATCAAGGACACACCTAGGCCTGTTTCCTGTGTTTATTTTTGGAGAAACAAAGGCTTCGTCAAACAGTAAAAGATTTCTGTGACATTTTCCAAATGAGAAGTAATATTGACGTGAAGCTGTGGCATTTCTAATCTAGGCAGCCATCATTTCCAGGGGCAAACATTCATAATAAAGAGGGTGTATAGCGTTTGGTTAGGTGCTTTCAACCTGTATCCCTTGAAGTAAAACAAAACGTCTGGTTGTGGTTAAGTGTAAGAGTAGGAGTTGCATTTCAGACAACATGTAAATCAGGCAATTTTTTTTGTAGATGTCTAATTCATATGACTATGAATTAATCTATGAGTCTATAGAACCTAATTTTTCTACAACAAACTTAAATTATATCTCAAGAATTGAAGATGTTAGAATTTTCCTTAACTTGGTCTTGTTAAACAACGGGAAGGTAGAATCCTTTGTTCTGTGACATGGGGAGAAGTATTTTGGCTTCTAAATGCTCTTGTCTGAACCTAAATTCTCTCATGATTATCCAGGAACTTTCATTGATTCAAGAATCCAAGGTGGAAGGAGGAGAGTCAGTCTCTGTTGATCAACAAAGAATGCCTTTAAAGACATAATTGCTGGATAGATAAAGCTGTATGTGTGTGGCTAGACATTTTAACTTTAAAAAGCATTTTATAAATGCATATTTTGTTTATTCATACTTGCTGTGACTGTTATCAGAATAGTTTGCCGTGTCTCTGGATGTATGGGGAAAAGTAATCTAGATCTCTTTATGTAGAAGCAAAAGTTGGTTTAAACTTTATTGCAAGCACATGACCATGGCAGCATGTTGTCTTAATGTAAATAACTTTTAGTCCTTGGTTTCTGTGGTCTTTTTGAAGATGGGAAATATGAAAATATATTTCTTTTTAAAATGAGAAAATGAGAAAGTAAAAGAAAGACTTACATAGCACTCCCACCTCCTGTTTTTCTTCACAATAACCCTGTGGGGGAGGTGGAGCTGAGAGAGCAACTGGCCCAAAGTTGCAAAGTGAGCATATTAAGCATTTAACATTTCTCCAGTTACTAATTAAAATTAACATCTTTTAAGGTGAAGCAGGCTTAATACATAGATAGGGGATCATCTGAGAATTCTAGAGTAGTTTCCAGGGCAATTCCAGTCATAAAATATTTCAGAAGAAGGCACTGGCAGATCATTTCCATAATGCTGCCCAGATTCAATCATCAGGTTTGAAGTTTGACCAGAGGGCAGCCTTATTTGTTTTTTTTAATTGCTGTGGATTTCTTAAAGATTAGGGTCAAAGGTGGGAAAACATTGGGGTGGCCCTCAGAGAACTGCACAGAACCACCCCCTCCCACAGAGAAACTTTTACTACTGCCTGGACCTAACCATTTGTCACCTCCTGGGAGATCTTAATCAGCCAGGAGGAATTGGGATCTAAAACACAGCTACCATCCCATGCCAAAACCAGAACAGCAGCCTCCAAAAATCCAGGTAAGCCACATCCTGCTGCTAATGCAGTCCTGCCGAAGAGTCCAATCACAGCTCCATCCTCACTACCATCGTCACTGCTGCTGCCCGGGAAATACATGCCAGAACTGCTTCTGCCATCATGTTGCAAAAGAACTTTCAGCCCCTGAGCAGTGGAGTTGCAGCCGCTGCTGTACAGCTGATATATATATTTTTAATTAGAATTTTGCAATACAATAAAAGCATACAAAAAAAGATAAAGAATATAGAAAAGAAAAAGAAAAAGAAAAATGAAAACAGAAGAAAACATACAGTTATGCCTTCTGCCCTTCTTCCTATCCAGTAATTGCCATCTTATTCTTTTCCTTTCCTCTTTGAACCTTTTTAGTCCTCAAATCCAGAAATCATCAGTTCAATCTTTTCTTCTTTCAATGAAAAGTCCATATAAGGTTTCCAGTCTTTCAAAAAAGTCTTTTTTTTTTCCCTGACCAGACTGGTCAGCTTCACCATTTCCGCAAGTTCAGTCAATTTTATAATCCAATCTTCCAGTGTGGTTATTTCATTACCCTCCCATCTTTGTGTGTACAATAATCTTGGTGCAGTTACCTTATACAATATTAATTTCCCATATTTCTTTTCTTGCTCAGTGTCCATAAAACCCAATAGAAATAAGTCTGGTTTCATCATGATGTTAGACCGCAATATCTTTTCTATCATTTATAGATTTGCACTCAACATTTCTTTGCTTTTTCACAAGTCCTCAGCCACTGCTGAACAGCTGATAAGTGGCACGCCTGTAAATGTAGCTCGCTTGAAGCCTCTACTGCCACTTGAGTCAAAAGCAGCAGCTTCAAGTTCACAAATCCATCTGGCTCTCTATCTCCTCCAGGTGGCCAGACAGCTCTCCTTTGATCTTTCTGGAGGCTATCTTGAAAATGTTGCACTGCTATGAACTTCCAAACCACCAGCCCCCACAACTCCAGCTTATTGCACCCAACACAGAGTTTGTCTACACACACTCCACCACAGATGATTCCCAATTGGAGAGGAAGGAATTACAAGAGAGTAAGCAGGCACACAATGGAGAATACACATCTAAAGGAATGTGCTAGTGCCAGGAGCCACTCAGGAGGCAAACAAAAGCTGAAGATGTGAAAGTGATTTAAGTCTTGTCAGTTACAGGCAGCTGCAAGTGGGCTAAATTAAGGTCACAGAGCTGAGCTTGTTGATAACTGGAGGTTAGCACCTTTTGGGGTAGCACTGCACTCCAGATAAAAGCAGCTCAGGAAGTTCTGCAAGAGGGGGGGGGAAGCAGATCAGGCACAGGATAACATGTACTAACTGTACAGGCGATCCCCAGGTTATGAACTAGATCTGTTCCTAAGTCTGCCTTTAAGTCGAATTTGTAAGTAAGTCAGAACAGTTATTTAGCATCAGATAGTCAAATGTTTGTCTTATATTTTATCTTTCTATGCATATAAAACATTTAAGAAATGCTTCCAAATACAATAAAACATTTTGCATATTGGAAGGGGCATTTGTGATCCAACTTAAAATGGCGGAAGGTATTCTCCTTCCTTGAGCCAACAAACCGCTTTAATATAATAGGCTTTATGGAAGTGTGTTCGTAAGTACGAGTTATCCGTAAGCTGAACGTTCTTAACCTGGGGTCTGTAATGGTGAACATGTGACTCAGAGAGAGATGCTGTGAAGGTCATAAATGTGGGCATTGGTTGCAAAGTTACTTTTTCATCACTGTCGTAACTTCAAACGGTTGCTGCCCAAGGCGGTCACTAAGCAAGGTCTGTCTGTATAGATCACTATGAATATTGCTCATTCACTTTCTCTGAGGCATTTTGTGATCAGATGATGCATGGATTCAGGGGTCTTTTAAGTAAGTGTCAGTCGAGTCCCTCACTATGGGCCTCCCTCCAGTTAGTTATGTTAATTTTTTAAAATCAGAAAATATTTCAAATACTTTCTTAAAAGTAAAGAGGAAGTTGTTTTCTTATAATTCCTTTCACCCTTATCCTTTCTGAAATGTTGCACTGCATTCAAATTAGCACACTGTGGTAATGTGGAGGTAGACAAGGTTTTCTATTTATCTGAGTTTCTATCCCTATCTGTAACTGAGGGCCTGTGCTTACTTTCTTTTACAGGGATGATGCTGAGAGTGCAAGCGCGCACGCACACATACACACACACACACACACACACACAGAGTTTAAGCCCTTTAAATGTATTCTGTAATTCTATGGTATTTTGACATAACACTGTCAGGGCACACTACTTTTTTCAAGCTGTTAATGTGCTAGATTCATGCTAGAAGACTAGGGAGGGGAAAGACAAATTGATGGGGCCAAGAAAAATTCCCAAATTAGATTTTAATTTAAAATACATTTAAATGAATTGAATACAATTAATATGATTTATTCCCATATATTTTATGATGTTGCCATTGACTGTCATTAATGTTTAGTTTGGCAGCAACTTTTGGAAAACCCTGGGGTCTCCAGACTTTTGGGGGCTGCATGTAGCCCTGGGGAGAATGGAAAGGATAGCTGTGAATTGTATTTCTTGTTTCCCTGATGTGTTAAATGTGGATGTTGTTAATTACAGGCACACAACTAAAGTGGTTTCTTTAAATTGTTTTTAGCAGATTTCTGTTCACTTGTACTGTAAGAGGGGAAAAGAGACCCATTCAAGAGAATGAGTGAACTGGAACAATTACGGCAGGAGGCAGAACAGCTCCGGAATCAAATTAGAGTAAGATGTCTTTCTAATATACTTCATGGGGACTCATGAAGATCTTTCCATGGGGAGAGAAAGGGGAAAGTTGTATGTGTCCCTGTCCTCTTTTCTCCAGAACCTTCTCTCCTCTATGGCATTGTCACCTGATGGGTGAAGGAGTCTTGAAAGAAGTTTCAGGGCACAGTGCTGGGCCTCTTTCAGGGAGCCCCATTGGATGGATCAGCGGGTTCAGGATTGACTTCTGAAACCTTGTTTAAACTTTTTGAGGCATTTGGAGCCAATGAGTGTGTGTCTGTGAGCCTTTCGCCCAGTGGCTTGCTACTTCCCACTAGATCAGGATTCTCCAGCTGCCTCGACTGAATAGACACACTTGGGAGTCTTCTTAGATTCACAGCTACAACTTCTTGGGCAGTGTTCTAGAGAGACTACAGTGATGCATGAAACCTAGGATGGATAATTTTAACTGTCATTTTATGGATGACATAGATTTTTATGGATGACATAGATTTTACAACTATGTAGTTTTAATTTTAGGTGTTACTCCGGACATTTTTTTTTTTAATGTTTTCATTACTGTAAACCACTGAGAGTCTTGGTAGTGTGGTGGGCAATACATTCAATAAATAATGACCCCAGAAAAATACACTCTCTTTCAAAAATTTTTGCCATCTTAATTCTCACAGAGCTGTAGTTTAAGCAAACAGCTGATCTGTCTAGGGGACCAGTGTGTTGTGGTCAGACTTTGTGACTTATCCCTCAGTTCAGTTCAATGGCAAGATGACAGGCTGTGGGAGGAGAATTATTGTACAATACTGGTTGATATGCACCTGAATGAGAGCAGCAAATTGCTGATATAGGTTCTTTATCAGCAGTTGAGCTGTTTCTTTTGACAAAGGGGTGAGGAAATGGATTTTCCAAGTACTTGTTCAAATTTATTGCCGTTATATATTTCATATTTCATGATCATCTTGCTAATTTAGACCATACAGTTTGATCATATTTGAAAGGCATTTAAATTGATGCTTGTCTCTTTCCTGAGTGTAATAAAGCAAAAAAGGGTGGTTTTTTTTGTTTGCTTCACTTAGAATGAAAAAAGTATTCAAATATGTTGATGACTCCTTGCAATTTGTTCTGTTTTAGGCTGCAAGTAGGGCCCAGCATATTTGAATACTTTTTTCCCAGAAAAAAAATGCCATACATATACAGAATAACTGGAGCCAGTCTCCCTGATAATATTAAGAGATTGTTCTTGTTCTTGGTCTCCATGATAAAACATTCCAATATGTAAGCAACTACTGCAACCTGGAAGAACTTTTATTACTGTATTCTAGTGATAATAAGCTGCCCTTTCTGCTTGTAGACAAACTACCTTATGCCATGAATGTGAAGGAGCACCACTTCCCAAACTCTATTGCTCTTAAACTGGATTTGGTTGCTGCTTGTTCACACAAAGCCTAAGTTGTTTATAGACTAGCTTCTACTTGGCATTCTTCAGCTCAGGGCAACCCAATAGGAAAATTGACTGATTATGTGCCATCAAGTCGGTGTCGACACTTAGCGACCACATAGATAGATTTTCTCCATCACAACAATAGGAAAATATAGTGGTAGTATTAACTCGTTAAAGAAAAGCCATAAGTGACATATAGATTTTTATGAATTAAGTGAAATGGACAGCAGAGGGTTAATAAGAAATGCTTTGGATTAAATGTGTTGTCTACCACTTGCCCCTGAATAAAGGAGAAGAGACCTGATGCACAGACACCCAGAACAACAGACATTGCCAGAATGAAATCTCTCTCCCCTTTAGTAAGCACACTGATCTGGTAAGGATGCAAAACTGATTCCAGCTATTGTTATATAAAGTAATCTTTTAAATTTTCTTTTAAAGGATGCAAGAAAAGCATGTAGTGATACAACTCTTGCTCAGGTATGTTACTATTTACCTTTCCTTCCTACCCTGCTTTCCTAAGCAGCCAACAGGTGTAAAACAATTCTAGCATCTGAAATGGATGTGCAGAATCTGTGATTTAGCAGAAGCTCCTTTCTTACACCCCTCTCCCTTGGCTAGGAAAAGAGAAAAGTTTTGATTTCCATTTGACATTGTAGTCTGAAGATCTGCTAGTATTTTTTCATGATAGTTTAAAGGGGTTTGAAAAAGGAATCAGTAAAGCAAAATCGTACTCTTGCCTTCTTGGACTTGTGAATTGGTTGCAACCACTTGCTCAAGCTGAGTTTGATTCATGTACATTGAACCATGTTTTTAAAATCATGGTTTATGCAGCCATCTGTAGCTGGCCAGATTTGAACATTGTACTAAGCCACAACGAATGGGTTGCACATCATGCAAAGTCCGAAACTCATCATACTATAGCTTAGCATAAGTAGACCTCTCCAAATAAAGAAATTGTAAATGACAATTGAGTATAAGAAATAATTTAATATTATATACTATTAGGTTTTTTCTTATACAGGTAGTCCCTGAATTAAGAACACCCAGTTTACAGATGACCCGTAGTTAAGAACGGAGCCTACTGTGGCAAAATTCAAGTTTAATACACAATGGTTCGAGTTAATTACACAGTACTACTTATATGGTGTTATATAATAATACTGTTCCAGCTTACATACAAATTCATCTTAAGGACAGACCTTGAGAACGGAACTGGTTCTTTAACTGGGGACTGCCTGTACTCAATTGTCATGTACTCTTAGGCTGTCCAGGAGATGTTTTTGAAAAGTGTCTTGTCCTTTGTCCTCCTCAGATCACCACAAGTCTTGATTCAGTGGGTCGAATCCAGATGCGTACCAGGCGTACCTTGAGAGGTCATTTAGCCAAAATTTATGCTATGCATTGGGGATCTGATTCAAGGTTTGTACAAACACTTTAGGTGGGCAAAAGATATTAGAGTTAAAAAAAAAAAGATTGGGATGTACTTTATTTCTTGGCCATATGAACAGTTACATTGGAAAAAAAACAGGCTGTAAATATGGAAACAAATAAAATGCACTAAAGAAAAATAAATTTAGATTCTTGGGAAGTTATTTTAAGCTTTAAAGAACCTCCTTAAACCCAGTAATTTGAAGAGTTTTGCTGTATTCTGGGTTCAGCTCTGAGACATTAGATTTCAGTGTATAAAAGGAAATATACTTCTGTTCCTAAAATAGCTTTTAATAAAAAAAATCATATGTATTTAACTTCTTTTTTTAAATAAGCACTAACATATTTTGTGAACTGAAACAATATTTGGAGGATTAGCATTTAAAGTAGAACTCTAGAAATTTATAGTAATAATTCCTTATTCTAGGCAGACAGGAAAGGATTGTTCCTTATTTTTTAAGAATTAAGCAGTATATATTGAGAAGTTTCATTTTTCAGGGTTTCCCTGTAGTTCTAGCATCCCAAAACAAAATGGATTGCAAATTTTATGTAGATGGAGCTGGCTCAGTAGGTTCCTGGGACTGTTGTGAGTTAAACAAAATTCTTAGTGTGTGAAAAACCTTTTCCCTTTCCCCCAAATAGTGTAATAGTGATGGAAGAAAGTAAGCTTATCCAACTTGAAGTTGCCTCCCTTTCTTTCAGGTAACTGAATAGTAATATGAGAAGGAAGCACACGTTATACCACTGTAGTGAACAGGACTTACCTATTAATCTTGGGTTGGGCAGTCAACCCTTCATCAACAATGTACAATATTGAGGCTTTTCTTGATTCCTCATCCTGCTGTCAGTTTGTCTGGGTTTTAGTCTTGTACACCAGCTTCAGCTTGGTGTTCTCCAATTAGGCTGGATTACAACTCAAAGCCAATATGACATTAGCATGAGGTTGGGGAAGAGTAAGCTAGGATTTCATAAAAGAAATGGCTTTTCGATGTGTGACCCTGGTATCTTCTGCTTACGTCTTAAGCTGTATGGTTCACAAGTGGAGAAAAGGAAAGTGGGGTCTTAGTGAATACGCAGGAATTTGACTTTGAACATTTCAATTTTGAAACCAGGAAGAAGGAGACACAAGGTTAACATATTAATATATACTTTGTGTGTGTGTGTGTCTTTTTCTTTTTCTTTGTTTTGTTTTATTATTGTCTTTAGGCTACTAGTGAGTGCTTCCCAAGATGGAAAATTAATTATTTGGGATAGTTATACAACAAACAAGGTACAGTTGTTTTTTAATATACTCAGTTTGGACATTTTATGTGCCTCTTGCTGGTGGGCTTTGTTTTTAGTTTCCACTGCTACTTAAAAAAAATTTTTTTTTGCTTTCAGTTGGATCACTTTTTCTGTCCTCTACCCCAACCTCTTTCTTGGCTCTTTTATTTCTTGACGGTTTTCAGATTTCAGTGCAATTTCTTACCTTGTTTTCATCTTTTTCTGTGTTTGGAAGTATCAGTCTGTTGTTTTCTCAAGCATGTCACTGACTGTTCCGTCTCATTAATCTCAACAATTCTGGCTCAAACGCTTGGGGAGGCAAACTGTTGGCTGTATTTTGAAATGTATATTAAAGTGCTTTGAGGTGTTAAGTTGTTCACGGGAAAGCAAAGAAGCTTTTGTTCTCCACAGCTACCTAGGTGTTCATTTAATGGTGAGCAAGAATAGCTGCCATAATCTCAAAGATATTTCAACTGAATCATTTAGTGTCACTTCAGAATGCAAATATGCAGGGTTCAGTCATCTTTCTTCTCCTCCCCAGAGGCAGTGAACGGAGAACCTAGTTCTGACAAGTAAAATAGGATTGAGGCTAGTTCTTGGGGAGGAAGACCCTTCTCATGACACATTTGTGGTTAGCCAGTAAACGCCAGCCAAATCATGTCAATCCCTGTAAACATGAAGCTAAAAATACCCCTACTTTGGCAGATCAGTTTTTTTCCTGTACTCATTTGAAGGGCCTGGGATAGCATGAGATTAATTATGTATTCTTATTATATCAGAAGGCACTGGAAGTTATTAGAAATCTTTTTAAAAATGTAGGCGATTTTGACATATGGTGCAAAATAGAGATTTTGCTGTTTGCAAAACATGTACTGTTTGCTCTCTTTAAAATTGGTAGCAATGTCAATTAATATTTTTACCTATTAAACTGTTGTACTATTTGTTCTATGCTATTGTGATTTTGTTAGTCTGTATTTTGTTAGAGGAGAAATAATTTTGCTAATTGGAGAGATAACTCCAGGCAATCAAATAAAATAGCGCTTACCAACAAAATATTGAAAATAGTGAGCAAGCAACCTGCTACAAAAATGATAGTTGCTTAGTTTGGAGCATGTCAGAGCTCCTTCTGAAAACTGTGCTGGAATCAAAGATGTTATATTTTAAAGGAAACTTTACATACTTTCATTTCATAATGCTGTGGTCCACACATTCAGTGTGCCATGAAACCTGGATACTCTAGTGAGAGAAAAGATTCAGTTAATTATCTGCTACTCCCAGTGTAATGGTAGTTCCCACAGTATCAGTTGATTATCCACCCCCAGTTTCTTGCAACTGATTTTTGAAGAGGACAACTGTTCATGGTGTTTTTTTTTTTTAATTCTGCTTTTAAAGATGCATGCTATTCCTTTGCGGTCTTCCTGGGTAATGACCTGTGCATATGCACCATCTGGCAATTATGTCGCTTGTGGTGGACTGGACAACATCTGCTCTATCTACAATCTGAAGACAAGGGAGGGCAACGTACGAGTGAGCAGAGAACTACCCGGCCATACTGGTCAGCTGCCTTTTGGTTCTTTCTATGTTTTCGGTCATTTTTAACGAAATGATAACAGAACTTTCTCCTACCCTCTAAAAGCAAGGAAGTCAAATATGAAGAAATAATGGAATATATTACCTCTCAGGGATTATTTTTCAGAGGAATAACTTTTCCAAACAAACAAACAAATGACATTTTCTAACATAGGATTTGGTCCATTGATTCTGTGTTAAATAACTGGTGTGGATGTTGTTTTACACACATTTGCTACTTTAATGTCCTATCCAAAAAGTTGAAAAATGTCTCTTATCGAGCAGCAGCAAGTGAACCTCCTAAGTACATTTTATGGACATTTATGGCCGGCAGCTTGTAACGTATTTGAATTAGATGCCGCTGGGCCATCCCATTTCTAATCTGTTTATTAACTCAGCTTTCCCCTGATCTTGAAATTGCTCCTCTGATTTTAGACATTTGTAGTTTTAAGTATTAAAAATGTTTTAATGAACAGTCTTCAAAAACTGGATTCTGTACTTAATTTGAATTACAGTTTGAAGCAGCCATTTTGAACAGCCATTTCGCTGTTGTTCTATGTTTTAGGGTACTTGTCCTGTTGTCGCTTTCTTGATGACAACCAAATAGTTACAAGCTCTGGAGACACTACCTGGTGAGTGTCATGGATTTTTGTTTTTAATGGGGGTGCTACAGCTCCCCTTGCTAAATATTTAAGCTGCTGAATTCAAATATTTTTATTTCACTTGTAGTGCTCTGTGGGATATTGAGACGGGCCAACAGACTACTGCATTTACTGGACATACTGGAGATGTCATGAGTCTCTCTCTAAGCCCAGACATGAGCACTTTTGTTTCGGGTGCCTGTGATGCCTCATCCAAGCTCTGGGATATTCGAGATGGGATGTGCAGGCAGTCGTTCATGGGACACGTATCTGACATTAATGCAGTTTGTGTAAGTGAGCTTGCTCAGAAGTATACGGAGAAGAGATGATGAATGCTTATTTGTATGCATTAAGTACTTCTCCTCTACCTCTGCTAGATGGTTTTGGAGTTTCCATCCATGTATCAGATGTGTGCTAATTCTCTTCATCTCTTTTATCTGTGGAAGCCAACTTTTCGTAGGCCAAGAGCTTCTTAGGGACGGTTAGTTGGGAAGAGGAGTTAGCAGAGCCACAAGTTTGTGCAATTTCTGGGGTGCCAGTCTCTGTGATGCAGAACTCAGTTCCTGGGTCATCCAACAATCCCATTAAAGTTTTAGATGGTTAACCGTTCAGTTATTTGAGAGAACTCTCTTGCTTGCCAGTGAAAAATAAAGAACGTGGCAAATTTTTAAGTACATGATAAAATAAGATTTCAGGCAAATTTAAAGCTTCAAATACCATGTAAGATGCTGTTCTAGGTCTTTTGTAAAATCTCATTTTTCTCATTTTGAGCACAGCTAGTCTAATAATAAATGAACTTTGAATTTTAGCATACAATTCCAGAGCCAGCTTCTTTCTCTAGCCCTGCTTTCTTCCCTTTTTTCCTCCTCTGTCTGCATTTTTATTTCTTGTTGCCTTTCTCAGTTCTTCCCAAGTGGCCATGCCTTTGCCACCGGTTCAGATGATGCGACCTGTCGACTCTTTGATCTTCGTGCAGACCAGGAGCTCATGATGTATTCTCACGACAACATCATATGCGGGATCACTTCTGTAGCTTTTTCAAAGAGCGGACGTCTCTTTTTGGCGGGGTATGATGATTTCAACTGTAACGTTTGGGATACCCTGAAGGGAGAACGTGCAGGTGAGTTAAAGCTACCATGTTAATAGGAGCCAGAATATTTGAGTGCATTACCTTTCTCTTGTGACTGTTCCATGGGGTGCCAGTTATGTGGAATACCAGTTCCTTGTTAAGCTGAGCCCTGGTTTTTGATCTTAAAGCCTTAACTGTTTGTTAACAGTTTTCCCAAAGAGCTACCTTTAAGAAAAGCTGGATTGATAAGTATGCATCAGGGATTTTCCAGTTATGGCCCTTCACTTCTGGAATTCCCTTCCATCTGTGCATACTTTGCATCTTTCATCTTCAGTGCAGGCTTTTAAAGAAGTTATTATACATCTTGCTTTGATTTTCACAGCTGAAATCAAACTGTTCTTTTGTAGATTTTTTTTGTACTTCAATCTATTCCCTGTATTGTTGTGAAGGAATTTTGTGAGAACGTATTTCTGAAAACTGAGATATAAATGTCTTGAATTGTGAATCTGTTTCTTAAAATAGGTCATCTCAGGGCCATTTGTTTAATTATTATGCTCTTTGACCCTTCAGGTGTTCTTGCTGGTCATGACAACCGAGTCAGCTGCTTAGGAGTGACTGATGATGGCATGGCAGTAGCTACAGGATCTTGGGACAGTTTTCTCAGAATCTGGAATTAACGTGGCATCTGAAACATACACAAATAGACACGCACACCTTCTCCACTGAGATCTGGAGAGAGCAATGCTGCAGCCTCTTGCTGTGAAATAACATTTCTACTTTGTATTTACAGGTGAAGTTTTTCTACTTGCTGATTATTGCATAAGTAGGCTTTCTGTAAATGAAGTTAAAACAAACGAAAAGGATGAAGTAGTGGTGGGTGGGAGAAATCAGTGACTTTCTTTCAAGGAAAAAGGTAGAGAGCGGCACACCTGTTCATGGTGAGTGAAGCTAAAAGAGCCAGTCTGTTAGCATTTGGTTTGGCTACATTGCCCTGAAGGGATTTCTGCTTGTGCCCCAGTCCTGCTAATTCTGTACTTTTTTGTACATAATTGAATATACACATAGCAGCCAATCATGTAACATTTTGTCTGTAAGTAAAGGAACAATGTTTGCGTTTTTTTTAAGGAAACTGCATTTATATAGCTCTACATTTAACCTAAGATGTATCTTCTGAGTTCTACAATGGATCAGCTAGTCTGCTGTTATAATTTTTCCCCCTCCTTTCTTCGTGAATTTACTGTAGATAAAGTGTGAAGTTAATGAGCTGTTTGTGAAATTTTATAACAGAAGGTGTTTGAGTGTCTGTATGAAACAAAACAAAACGGAAATGCCCTGATGACTCTTGTGACACTTAGCCCCTTTCCTGCTGGTGACTTTTTCTCCCCTTAGTGCCAGCAGATCCCAGATAATCCATTAGAAGCCAAGGGGCTCTGATATCCACAGAGTTTAATAGATGATCAGATGCATCCTTCAAACATAAGAACTGAGATGTTTAGGTATCTAGATTTTGAGCTTCCTTCTAACAGCCTCTAATGAGATTAGGGTCACTAAGTTGAAAGATAGGTAAATGCTTGAGACAGTGTTCGATGGATGTACTTTTGTGGGGACTGAATAACTGTAAATGAGAGAGTTCTCATCTCCTGTAAACTCATTGTCTATTTTGAGTAGCTTAAGACTGAATTTAGGGCTGCTTCCAATTGCTAGCAAAGGTACCTGAACCCTCATTGAACCATATCACTCCAAATGTATGTGGGGCATATTCTGAGTGCATCCACACATTATAATTCTCCTACTTTATATATTCCAGGTAGAAAAATGTTCTCACATATGCATCTTGCATATGCAGAGAAGTGTTAAAGTAGGACATCACTGCATTAGTATTGCCTCTTTAAGACTGTAGCACATGCCACGTCAATTTTAATGAGCTATTTGAAACTTCAATTGCACCAGTCACCCACTACAAGATGTGCAGAAAGTTCATTTTAAGAGCTGCTGTGCCAAGCTATGCAGTGTGTTTACCCAGACATTCCAGAAAATGGAGCTGCCTTTTTAAGTTTTTGTGTTTGTAAGTCTTGGGGAAACATTAAGAAATGAATTTGCCTTCCCCAGTCTTCCTTTTTTCTTAAAATAGATCCCATTTTGTAAAGACTTCCCATGACTTGCTATGCCTTCAGTCTTTTATGGGGCATCAAGAATTGTAGGATCACAGTAAATGAACCACTTCCTCTTGATTTTGGTCTCTTTAAATTTTGGAGTGAAGGTCACCTAATAATAGGCCATAATAACTGTCCTGTTCTCATAAATGTGTTAAGGGGTAATATTAACATGAAAATGTGCTTTAAAAAATCCCCGAAATTAGTTTTGTTGCTGTCTGTACTTGTAGCAGGTATGGAGTGGATCTGATCCTTACGAAAGTATTTACAGATTGGCCTGAAATGTAGGTTCAGTCCTGTGTTGTCCCATTTCATGGTAGAGGAAAGATCCAGTGTTACATGTCCCCCTAAAATCTCCACCGTCTGGACATAGGTTAGTAGTTCTTAATGTATTAAAACATATTTTTTGCAGTGCCATTTGTTTTGTCAACTTTGACCAATTTTTTATCCTGCATTCCAGCCTTTTTTACTGGTGGCAAAAGTACTAAAGCATGTGCCAAGCATTTTGGATGTAGGAACTCTAACAGTCCATGAATCCTCTGATGACATACAGAGAGATGTGTTCCAAAAAACGGGGAGAAAAAAAATGCTGTTGCATGTGTTAGGATACATATATGCAGTATTTACTATCTTTCATATGGTTCATTCTTTTTACATCTGATACTGATGTAATTTCATCCCAAAGGATTAATTTTTTTAGTGTTATGATACAACTCTTCACTATACAAATTACCTCACCCTTGATCCACTATTTGCCTCCTTTGTATTAAATATATATTTTGTAAGGGCCTTAATATTGCCTTGCATGAGTAAGAAAAACATGCCCTTTTAGAGGAAAAATGTCCAGTACAAAAAAATTCAGAGGAGTGGATCATTCAGTTTGTTGAAGAGGCTGGAAGCTGTTATGCAGTCAGTCCTTAGGTGGACCATTTAGTGAATCGGTTATCCTACTTCATCAGTAATAGTTTGTATCCACATACTGGATTTTGGGAATGATTCTCCCAGGAAGCAGAGTAGCTTACATAAATGTGAGGCTGGATTTATAGTACAGTCCTCAGTGTAAATTGTAGGCATTAACTGATTCCCCAATATGATTTGCCAAAGTACGTCTGCCTGGAATGCATAAATTGAAATGGATTTTGCATGGATGCCCTGCAGCAGGGATGGGCAACCTTTTGGGGGCTGGGGTTGCATGTTTTCTTCCTGCCCTACTTGGGGGCTGCAGCGGTTATAGCTGGTGTTGTGTCTCTGGAGGAGACGGCTCAAATTTCAGACCTTGTTTTTGCCAAGAGGGGTTAAGGAATAAAAGTACAGATCCTTAAGGTACTTAGTTTTCTCCTTAACTCCCCTTCTAAATGGGAAAAATCAACGTGATCATTTGTTTTTTAAGTGCTGCTGTGGGTGCTTGAAGCCTCTGCAGAGTTAAGGCCCTGTCTTGCCCCTTGCCCCAAAGTGTTCTGACAACTTTGGTTCTGCCTATCCTGGAGTCTATAGGTTACCCATTCCTGTCCTATAGCAGAGACCCTTGATGATGTAGATTCCCGCTGTTTTTCCTTCTCCATTTCCCTACCTCCTATGAGAGTTTTGTGTATTGTGTTGATTATGGTTGATTATGGTTTGTGATCCATTGTTTATGCATTGGAGTGAATGGCAATAGTATTTCCAGCAGAATTAGCAACACCTGGAATCGATAGTGCCCCCAAAGATGAATTGTACAGTGACTGAGGAAGCGGGGTCTCGAATTGATGATTTAGAGAGCACGGTAGGCTTTATCAGAGTGAGCCAAGCCAGGTCACATAGTGCCTCCCGCTGCAATAGGGCTCCTTACCCGACCAATCTGTATATATCCAATTCCCCTTGTAGGTAGAATTCTTAAGTCCTGCATGTATAACTGAGTTGTTCGGTATTCTCCCTCATTTTTCTTCCCTCCTCCTGCCCCCATTCTTACTGCAGCTCCTCTTGACTCCTGGCAAACTGTCCCTTGAACATTATTTTTTGGAGAGGGTGGTGGGGCTCCTGAGTAGCATTTGCTCTAGCTGGAAGGGAGAATCCCTGGCCCTCCATATGTGGATGAAACCATCTCATACAGATACAGGACTTGTTCAGGATCCCAGTTATTTACAAATGCTAGGTGGCAATTTCTAACCTTGGAAATAATGGACTTGTGCCCCCCTCCCCTTGTAATTAGGCACTTGTGCTACTCAGACTTCTTCCATATTTGAGGCACTGCAAGTCTTACTTTTCTTTTTCCTTTGTTTCTTTTCGTGAAATAAAGATTGTGTAAAATACATGCAAGACTGTTAAATGCTTAGTGGTGTTCTGGTGAGTCTGTTCACAGTGTTACTAAATGATTAATAAATAAAATTTTTTGAAAAATGTGCCTGACTTTCTTTGTGCCACACAAGGTTTGATTTTGAATAATGGGCTTCTTAGATATTTCAGGCCTTTATTTTTACAACACAATGGTGCTCTCTTTGTTTCCTTCTTGCTGCAGCACATCTCTGTGTTGATCCTAGCATCCTCCTCCAGTGGAGTTGCGTCTAACTTGTTTTCATAAATGGACAGTCTTGTGCTTTTGCTCTTACAATTTATTCCAGGAAGCATGTGGTAGGGTTATTTTTAACCTTCACTTGTTACCATCTTCTCTTGAAGAAAACCTTCCAAAATATTTCCAGGTACCAAGTGACTCTGCACTGCCTCTTGGATTGTGTATTCAGAACATCTTAAATCCTTTTATTTGACCTAATTAATTAAACAAAAACACAGGGATTAGTGCCATTTTTCCCCCCTTAGTGCTATTGTATAAAGAGTTCCCTGTCGGGGGGAGGGGGGATGGACACTTGCTATGAATTGTTTATAGTTCTTCCCCTAATGAATCTTTCCTTTGTAATTGTACAGTGTCTCAGTGAAAAATGTTGCCTGACTTCACATTGTAACCAATAAACAAGTGCTTTTAACTAGGCTTTCTCTCTCCTGTTTTAGTTGATTTCATATATGCCTGTTATTTAGCATATTGCATCTAAAGTCCCACCAGTACTCTGTCAAAGAACCTGGATTACTCCGTGTTAGAAAACAAAAGCAAAAAACTTCTTTTCAAGGATATTATGGTTTTAAAGGCTTACTCTGTAGTTCTTCTTTATGGATCATGCTTGTTGAGAGCCATTGGAATATGGGACATTGCTATTCAACACATACTCCTTTTGAATTCTTTAGGTCTCGTTTTTATAAATTAGAAACGTATTTTAAATACATCATTGCATTTTGACACAGAACCAAAAAGGCAAAGGTTCCCCCCCCACACCCCCAAAATAGGGGTAGAAAGAATTAACTGCATGCACTGCAAACTAGGTATATTCGCTAATCTCCCACTGGTGACGTTTCTCTCTCTCTCTTTAAATAGAATTTCAGAACAGGATGGGTAAAATTTTTAGAGGCAATAGTCATCTTAATCCTTGTTACCTTCTCCTATCCTAAAATGCAGTACACATTTTAGCTTTAATTGATGTTATGATTCATTCTAACCAGTTATGTTTTTCCAGGAATATAATGAAGCTAAGCAGTTGAGTGTGACAAAAAGGATTTTTGTACAGCATGCCTCAGGCTGTATTCCGTAAATAGCCATTTCTTGCAAGTATTTGTAAGCTCGAGATAGATTGTATTGGTACAATTATTTTATCGTTTTCTTGTGTATCAATTTTCCCCAAAAGGATTTATATTGAAGCAACAATTAATGTAAAATAATCCTAATTCTCACACGGGTATTAGTTTTAGAAGTTGCCCTTAAAATAGATTTCCCTTAAAACAATTAAAATACTGGATTAAAGCAAGCTCCTAGTTTCAGTCACATATTAGGGGAAAGCAGGTAACATATCACTAAGATTTTTTTGAGCCTTTTCCTTATTTTAGGGAAACGGGGAACATCATCAGAATTACCCTGATTTTACTTTGTTTTTCACTAGATGCTGCTGCAGGAACAAAATGTGTATTACAGGTTGCCACTCCGTATATTCCTTTACAAACTCCACTTTAACAGCCATTATTCCACTTCTCAGTCCTTCTCGGTCATAGTTTAGTGGTAAGGTAATGCCTCCCTTGAGTTGAACTGGTGACCACGTGGGCACATTCACATTTTCTTGGCCACAATATGGAGTTAGTTTGTCATGGCTGCCTTCTAGGATGCTTTTTCCATTTTTCAGTGCAGCTGGTAGCCCTGCATTTCCTGTCCACCTACAAAGCAGGCGGGCCTCTGCTTCAGCAGGATGGATCAAGTTCAATTAGTGCTGCCGCCTGCTGGGACTGAGGCATGTTCTGTCGCTCCTAATGCAAGAGAAAGCCATCTGTATTCAACTGGAGCCTGTTCGTAACTTTACAGAGAACTCAGGGTGATCAGAAGTAGAAAGCATTGTGAAGGAAAATACCTAAATGCAAGGCTAGCCTGCTAAATAGCCCTGGATGAAGATCCCAAGACCATGACACATCACGCCCTACTTTAGAAAACGTGTAGCAGGCAACTGGCATTTCCATGGCATAGTCTCTTTATAGCGTTGGCATCTGCTACAAACCTCTTAGATGAAAACCAACTAGAGCAGTGTTTTTCAACCTTGGCAACTTTAAGTCTGGAGAATTCTGGGAGCTGAAGTCCCCACATCTTAAAAGTTGCCAAGGTTGAAAACACTAGAGTTTTTAATATCCCCAACCAGATATGTACTGAGCCTTTTCCATTTTAAAGAAGTTGTTGCTGGCAGCCCATACGAAGATGTAAATAATGCACGTATTATGTTTCTATGCCCTACGAAAGAGGCTTTCTCAGAAAGAAGGGCTATTCAGTATCTTCCTTGCTCATTTTAAATTTCTTCAACACTAAAATTCTGGAAGGAAACGGCCATTAAACAGCAAGTTTTTAATCAGTTTACTTGTGTATGTTTCAAGTCACTTCAACATTTCAGCAGAATGTCACTGGTTGCATCTATAATTACTGTATTGATCTCACTTGAGAACAGAAGAACCACATTAAACATTCAATGCATCAGAATAATACAGAGTGAACTTCCAGTCGCTGAGCAAGACAGGAATTTGAGAAGACTGCCAATGGTGTCATTAGCCCTTTGGATCTTATAAACTCTTACCAAGCACCACCACAACAGCAGACGTTCTTGTAGAACTAAAGTTAATTCTCATTTTGTTTTAAAAAAACATGCATATTCATATTTTCCTGGTTAAAATGACTTCCATGCCAATTATACTTCCAGAAAAGTAGTTCATAAATTAACACATTAATGATACAATTCAGGAGCAGATGGTGCCAACCGAAGATTGTCATGAGAAGATACAGCAGTGTTTCTCAACCATGACAACTTGAAGATAGGTGGACTTCAACTCCCAGAATTCCCCACCCAGCATGGTTGAGAAACACTGAGATACAGAGTACCGAAAACAGAGAAGCCTTGGTTATGTCAACCATTATAACATTCCACCAACATAGAAGGAATAAATAGACAACTCCATGTATTCGCCTCCATAAGTGATTGAGTCACTAACCCTGACAATCTCAGATATTTCAGCTGTGAAAGTAAGGAAAGGAAGGATACAAGAAGTACCTGGACATTATTTCCCTCTCTCTTGTCCCACGTCAAGCAGCTATAATCCTGGGAACTTTTTTAAAAAAAATACATACTTAAGAAACTCTGCAAAAATTTTAACTTCAAATTAGTGTTTTTTACATCTATTTTTTATTTTACTGTCCACATCAATTTTAGCTATGCAGGCATTACACCAATCCTAAATTAAAATGCTGTTGATAGATCTGTGACAGACTAATGTTAAATTTTTAAGGTTAGACACTACCCCCCGTTTACTACACAAATTGTGACAATACTCTGGTTTCCTGGAACCCACTTTTGAGAAAAGGACGCCTTCCTACCACAGCCATCATACAAAGGCTACATCCAGATTTTTCTGCTAAAGTCAATCTGTGACTTAAGCCAAGAACTCCCTTAGTAAAGACATAAAGCTTTAAATAGGCAACGCAACGTCGGAAAGTTTAATTTCTCTTTCAGCCAAACGAAAAACCTAGAATGGCATCAAGAAAACTGATTGTCTCCGCATCCAAACACCACAAATCTGTTTCAAAAATGGATAGTGTTCTGTATTACTGCTGTGTAACAAGAGTCTTCGGGGAAAAAAAAACCACGGCTGCTCACTCCCACAGAGAATTGCGGTTAGCAGCAGTATGCTACAGGACCGGGTGGGAAACTTCTCCTGGATGTCAGAAGAGGTAACTCTTGGGGTAAACATTAATACAAAATACTATAGGTGTCTTGGTTTATTTAATATACTTTTCTTTTTACATTCCCAAATAAATTTCATATGCAACAGTAAATACAAATTAGTTCTCTTATGAAAAGTTGCAAAATGATTCAATCACTAGTAAATACTGCTTCCTTCCTGAGTTCTTAGGCACAATTCATAGCCAGGTAGCAATGGAGAAGTAGTCAAAGGAGCAGGAAAAATTCATGTGACTTAAAGGAGAGGGAAACTGCTAATCTTTTAAACTCTTCTTTTTCTGGAGAAAATCCTTTGAAAAACAGTCAAATTCATCTTCCAGATAAACAGCTTTCTTCCTACAAAACAAAGGAAGGAAATAATTAACCCACAGATTGTCTAGCGTACTTCCCCAACATTTCTGGCACACGAAATCAATGATCTGCACCCACGATGAATGTGTGGGCCAATGAGAGATTTGCCAGTGTGACGGAGGAAGGCGATTTTGGTGGCTCAAAACCCCTCTGAAACCCTTCTTGCTCACCAAGATTTTTGGGGCTGGGAATCTCCTGGAGTGGCATGCTTTTCCTGCTTTCAGTCAAGTTAATGTTCAGAACATAGCCCAATACAATGAAAGATTTATGTATACGGGGACCATATGTCCTTCATTATAAAAAGGACTTGACTTCAGAAAGCTGTCCTTTAGATTTATTTTTCAAAAACTCACGTCCTTTAACTTTTACTGCACAAATGGTACCACTTAATGCACAGTCTTTCCCATTCATGTGATAAACATGGAAATTGAATTATCTTCTTCAAATAAATTTACATATACTGTTTGATTTTAGATATTTTTATAAGAATATGTGTTTTTGTAAAGTTTTTCTTGGTTTTGCTCTTGAACTTTCTTTTGCAAAGCTAAGTTATAAACCTAAACAATTAAAAAAATTATCCTTATGAATCTCTTTCAGACTTTCCCCTTTTTCAGGTTTGTTCTTTATTATTTCCAAGAAAATATGGTCACTGTACTTATGTAACATAATCACTAACATTAAGAATGTTTATATGACTAACAATGCTCCATGCATAATGTAAGAACTAGGCAGTCATCAATAAAATAATTCAAGTATTGGAGTAATAAAGATATTTAAAAACTGGATCAGCCTCAAGATGATAGTTGGTTTCAGCTATTGGGTGGTAAAATGTGAGTGCTTATCACACAATGGGGTTGAACTTCTTGGTAAGTGGCCTACAGGTGGCAAGGGCTGTAATATTTGAGATGCACTCTTAAGATGGGAGAATTCATAACAGAAGCCAGACAGCAGAGAAAAATATACCTAGTTTCTTAATGGCTATGTTCTATGTATTCCCCAACTTGATTTCAAGAAGAAAAGGGAAAGAGTAGAGAAGGCAATAAGACAAATTAGCTACAGAAGCCCTGTGTGTGTCCAAGAATGGAAGAAGAACTACATTCTAAGAAGCCCTCAAGGGACCTCACACATTCATAACAACATCCAAGTCAATTTGACAAGAACTGGTAAAGTAGTGTTTGGAATAAAAAACAGTAATTAAAATAAAAAGGGTATCTCTAAAGGAATCCAAGTTAGACACAGACATCCATTTATTCTCATCATATGATATGACAGATAGACAGACAGACAGAGATCATGGATGGATGGATGGATTTAAAACCACTCCAAACAAACATGGAAGTATTTTTTGTCTGCTACTCAAACATTCCTGAACTTTCATCCAAGGCACGGACAAACACTTCTCCTGGGATTACCCACCGTAAATCCTTTGAGCTGTTCTGGATTTTTTCTAGCTGAGTAATTGTTTTGGACAATTGTTCAATCTCCTTCTCCAGGTTTTTCTCTGTGATATCAACCTGCTGGCAGAGGCGAGCAAACGTGGTAGCCATTTCCCTAGGAGAGAAAATGGCAGAGCCCAATCCATCAACAGCCCAGGGATATCGTAGTAAAGCCATCAGGACAAGGCTTGGGGAAATGACATTCCCACTCCACAGAAGAGCAAGAAGGCCCCCCAAGGAGCAGAGGGAGGGGAATTCCCATTATGAAACAGGTCAGACGTACTGTTGCACCTGATGGCTACAGTTTGCACTGGTAAGGTTGATGATCAGTTGTAGTTTTTCTGTAGCATAGTTGACAAACTGCTGCTTGAAAGCTCGTTCTTTGGCTTTCATTGTCCAAGTAAGCCTCTCATAGAGATACAGCAGCCCATACATACTCATGGAAAGAGAGATGATCTTCCAGCCAACAGTTCTCCAAATCTGGAAGAGAAGCACTCGATGAGAGAGAGCTTCAATCGGAAAATGTGAATATTTGCTAGAAACCATTTCTTTGGGTTGGAAAGGACAACGCTGATTTTCCAATCTCTGAGCTTTTATTCTTTAAAAAAAGCAAAGCTGACTATGTTTCACAAGTGCTCGATAGATGTTGGCTTCTTATTATTTTTAAGGTAATTTTTTTCTGGGTGTGTTTTTTTTTAATCTGAAGGTTTGCTACTTTTTTCTTAAAAAAAAGAATTGTTACTTTTAGGATTATACCCGTCATTGAATTTTGAATTTTGCAAACCATCCTGAGTTATTAACAATTTTAGACTGAAACAACAATATATAAAAGGTATATATATATTTTGGAAAAGTTGGGTCAGGCTCAGACTTGGGAAAAAAAAGGATCAGGAGAGCTGGGTTAAGAGTACCTGTCTGAACGGAAGGGGTTGGTATAAGGCAGAGCCCAGTTTTTTCACCAAGGCAGAGATGGTCATGGTACTCACCAGACCACCAAGGATGACAACCGTCATGGAAGTCCGAGATGTCAGTGATGCCAGATTGGTGACCAAGGAAATCATGAGCTCCTCCTGTGATGCAGTCTCTGAGGTTAGAGTGGGAGCACTAGTGGTGCAAGGAGTGGAGGCAAGAGATCTAGGGATCTAGGAAAGAGGAATGCAAACTCTGCAGTAAGTCTGTCCAGGGGAGAGAAGGTGGAGACAGCTGGGTTTTAAATAAGAACTCTACATTCGTGTACTCATGAGCCAGTCAAATGCTACCAAGGGTGCAACTGTAGTCTGAAGACATACAGTGCCTTAACTATGGGGAAGAACCTCACTAAAATAAAATAATTTATGCAAAATGATATCCTGCTATTTCATGGCAGGCATCCATCTGAACAGTCAAGCACAACCAATGGCACTTAGGAACACAAGTTTTCCTATCACTGTTTCTGGAAGCTGTTCACAATCACGAGCTGTGACTGGTGATGAATGATCTCCAATGTTCACATTGGATCTTCCATTTGCATAGAGGAAGCTCCATCTATACAAGCACTAGAACAAGCTGAGTCCAAAACCATCATCTGAAGCACTCACTGCCAGAGCTGGTTCTGCCATGCTGAGCAGAACCCGGTGAGCATGTTGAGGTCCTAGGAAGCGACTCACAAGAGACGTCCAGCCCAGGGAGAACCGAAATGTGATATCCTCTTGAAAATCTGAGCAGAGGCTGTGGCAGTTCAAATCGTAGCTCAGGTCAAATTGCCTGCATGGAATGAGCAAGTGGAGCTTGTTCTGGACTTCTGAAGGCAAGAGAGGTTGCAGATTTTCTAAAGAAGAAAAAGACATGGAGTGAAAAAAGCAAAATGAAACCCAATTCCAGAAACATATCACACTTTGTGTTGCGTTGCTTGTGTTTTGCATATACAGACACACGTATGCATGCATACCTCCCCAGAAACCCAGACCCAGAGACCTATTTGAGAAACACCAAATGTAAAAACTAAAGGCAAGAGTTGGCTGTGGAAATGAATTCAACATACGTTACTCCAGCCAATGCATAGGACATCATGAGCTCTGAACTGTTATAATTGGACCACGCGGCCATTTGGAACAGCTCTTTCTACTGTATTCTAAAAGTGGAACATTACATTGAGTTGGGCTGGAGCTTCTTACATGCTGCGCTAAATTTCTATTTGAAGGAAATTTCACTTTAAATACAGTGGGGTGACATTAAAGCCAAACCTGGCTGACCCACCCTGTTTAAAACCTCTGTAAGATGGGTGACACAGCAGCTCCATTCGTTGTAGCTCTAGAACCAACAGCAGCCAGCAACCTTTTCAGATATCTTAGCCTAGCCTGCTGTCTGATAAGAATGTTCACTATTCCTTAGCAGTCCACCAAGTATCTCCAGTGGCCTCTCCTATGCTCAAGTTTAATGCTGCTCTTTGGTGAAAGAAAAGACAGTTCTCAAAGTTATCCCAATTGAGCCACATAAAATCTTGCAACATACTTTTTCCCCCTTGATGTTTCTTGCTCCTCCAAGAGTCATTTGGAGGATCCCCAGACTGACACAAATCAAGCAGCTGCTCAGGGCAAATTACTCCAGAGAGCTGGCTATCTTAGGCATAATAAAGCAGCTTCTCTGGGTGGCAGGTCTGAAGGGCAGCAGGTGAGGAAATGTCACCCACTTGTCCTGAGTCGCTTTGCCTGATTGTAGGACCAGCCCTGTATACACAAAGCCCCAGAGGCCACCAGGTAAGCGTGTGACCTGCTGCGTGCACCAACTCCAGAGCTAGCAGCCTTAGGGAGAAGCTTGAAAGAATTCCAGGATCAGAAGACTTGGGACACCTAAGTGGCAACCACATTCTTCGGTTTATAACCAAGAGGACTACTCAAAGGAGGAGGAGGAGGAGGAGGAAAGGCAGTGCTAAGAACTGAATGCATATCTGAAATTGCACAAGGGGACCAGGATGATGCAGCCTCATTGTTTTGGAAACTTTGGATCTGAAGATCCATACCCCATCAACCCAAATGGAGAGGAAAGGAGTTGAAGGGCAGAATCTATTCATTCCTCTTTACCAATCATTTCTTGTTGGGATTGATGCATAGAGTTGTTGACTTCACTGGAGCAACGGTCGGCCAGATTCCTTCCCAATCCTTCCTCTAGGTGCTTGTTGAGTTCCTGGCACAAGGAAGATGATGAGCTTTACTACGGACCTAGATTTATTAATCCTTTTACTAAAAAAATCACCAGGCAAGTTAATGTAACTTTGACCAGTTCTGGACTCTACAGAATAACATCACAGAAAGTGGTGCATATGATGCTCAAGCAATTGATGCTTGAGTAACACACACACACACACACTCCACAGAAATGATCTATGACAACACTAGCCAAGGAATAGAAAGCCAATGGCAAAACTTACACTTTTATACAGTTTCAAAACTTGTGGGGATGGATGGAAATCAGAATTAAACTCATCTACCAAAACAGAAAGCCGACAAATTTCATCAGTCATGGCAGAAGACACCTGGAAAATATGACACATGCATGAGCAAGATCAGAAGTGTTTTTTTTGTTAATATTAAAAAAATGTATACAGTATTATATTAAAACTCTTTGCAGCAGGTGTGTCTGCAGGGTATAGCCAAAAAAGTTAAGATGGCACCCATGATGGTGCAACTGAACTGTATGTGTGACACACATGAGAAATGGGTGAAACATCAATTTGCACCATCATGGCCACCAACTTGTTTTTTTTTTTCTTTTTACCATATCCGGCAGACCTCTGTTTTGCCAGATGATGCTTTGGGTAATGTTATGTTGTCTCTTTTTTTGATAGGCTTTAATACAGAACTATGAATGTACAAAAATCTTGAGATGCAGGATCTTAGTAATCCTTCACTTAGATATATAACTTATACTGAGTCAGATCATTTCAGCCTTACCAGGTAGACCAGACAGGAAACATGACCAGTAAACTAATTCTACTTTATTGTAAGGTTACATTAACAGAATCTTGCAAGTCTGAAAGTACAACTCTCCCTGTCTCCTTTACAGCCCAAGAAACTAGGGAGGGTCCCTTCTGAGCCTCTTTTTCCACCCATTATGAAGCTGTGGGCTATGCTGTCTCTTATCTGACCGTTCCCTAGGCAGCATCTCTTCACTTTGTCCCCAAGGTCTTTCCCACATACCATTACAGATCCCTGATACAACCAAACCTATATGGTCTGCTTGCTCTAGCATTAAGTAATGCACAATTAACCTGTGGAACTCCTTACTACAAGACATGATGATGGCCACTCACTTGGATGGCTTTGAAAAGGAATTGGATAAATTCATAGAGAACTAGTCTACCAAAAACAATCAGTTAACATTACCTCCAGGTTGGGAGCTGCATGCTTCCAAACACCAGTTGCAGAGGAACCATGAAGAAAAGGGAGTCTATTCCCATCTCCTGCTTGCATCCACCCCAGAGGCATCTTATTTCTCAAGGCCACTTGAGAAATAAAATACTGGTCTAGGACAGGCCTTGGGTTGATGCAGCAGGGCTATTCTTACATCCTTAGGAGCTTCTGCTGCTGCTCTCTGGAGTCACAATTAGCTCATTCTGGTTATCTATCTATGAGGTTATCCTGATTATCTCACTAGGAGTCAACACCAACTTGATAGCATATCATTGATCAGTCAATTAATATGAAGACACGTGTCAGGTTCAGCCCAAAGAACTCCACGAGACAGTGCAGATACAGTTCTGTTGCGTTTATAGCTTCCACCTCCAGACAGAAATCACCCCAGACTGAATCTAACTTCCCAAGCTAGCAAGCCAAAACACTGTGAATTCCTTAGGGTGGTGCCAGTCTCATCTTCTTAACCGTCCCACGCTCCAGTAGGGGGCTAGGGGAATGCTTATCTCCTCGAGCGCAGCCTTCATCAAGCCATTCCTTCACAACTGGTTAAATCAGCACTGGATAACCTTTCTTATAATTTAGCTTTATGCCAGGGGCAGAGGCCCAGATTCCAAAGGTGGATGGGACCAATGGGGGAGGAAGAAGACGTAGTGAGAGCCAAAAAGAGGATAAAGATATCCCCCAAAATAATTTTCTATTTATTATTCCATTCTAATCATTGCCTAGTCATGCTGGCTAGGAATTTGGGGAGCTATAGTCCAAACACGACTTGAAGGTGCCAGCTTATGAAAGATTGTGCATGACCCCCTTATAACACTTATACACTCGTGGGGGAAGTATGAACAAATGTCTTTGGAGGATATGATCTGATTGGCATTCACCAAATGCCAACATGATTTGCTGTATCCAACTCCCAAAGGTAATTAGATATAGCCAGAACCTCTTGGACAATCCTGGTTCTTTTCAAAGTCATTGCTACAGAGTTTCAGGACAGGACTGAAGCATGAAGTCAAGGAGATCTTCATGGAGAGGCAGAAGCTATACGTGGCAGAAATATCAGCAGCAAATGAGGGAGGGGGGCTCCAGAGGCCACTATAAATTCACCATTTATAGAGATATATCAGGAGCTGAGAATCTGCCACCGGCAATACAAGCGTTCCAGACTTTGGGGATGGAATGTAAACCAAGCTCTGGAAAATGGGGAAGGCATTAACATACTGCTAAGGGAGATCACCTCAGTTCTGACAAAGAAGAAAGCATGAGAAAGAAACTCAAAAAAATCCTGCCTTGATTTTGATTGGTATACGATGTAGTAAAGAGAAACTTTGACAGGCTTTCAAGATTCTGTTATTATACCCTACAACAGCATTTCTCAACCTTGGCAGCTTGAAGATGTGTGGACTTCAACTCCCAGAATTCCCCCAAATAGCTTGCTTGGGGATTCTTGGAGGTGAAGTTC